TTGAGCTTGCATGCGACGAACGCACTTTCTACGCATTTGACGCGCCCATCAGTCTAGGGCGTCCATGACTCCTGCCACATTGGGCCTGGGTGCGTTTCGAGCCCCACCTCCATGGGGTCGCAATGAGACCGCGGTCACGCAGTGCGGCCCTGAATCACGGCAGGAGCGCAGCGCCCCAGGGGCCTCCTTGGCGCCCGTTCCTGGCTTCAGGCGCGGCAGGCGGTGCCTTGATTCGTCGTGCGACGCAAGGCCCAATAGTGTTATTGGCGCCGAGGCTGAGCCCAGCGGCAATGCGAAGCACGCCGCGCGTTCTTGCTCGCCCGCGGCTGCAGCTAGTTCTCTGCAAGTCAGGTCCTCTAGGAAAGCTGCGCCAACGTCCATTGACGCGATGGTCCACGACGTTTTGCGCGCGGCCGCGCATGCGAGCAGTCTCTGACTAGCCCGCCTGGCTGCACATGAAAAAGGCCTCCACGCCGAAGTCCTTGGCGCCCATAAACTCGCGAAGCGCCAGGAGTCGCCCGACGGCGCAGTCCATCTCGCCTTACTCGTTGCCATGCGATGGCCGAGACCCCCCGTGTGCACGCGGACCTCGACGCCGCGATGATTGTCGCGATCTGAAGCAGTTGCTGTAGAAGCAGATATTGGGCTCCGCGCGTGGCGCATTGTCTTGACAGCGATTGCCCGCGCCTCTGCCATCGCGAAGGTCGCCTTCCTTGACGACGACGGCCACTATGATGCAGCGGGCGCGCGCACTCCTAAGCGCAGCCCCGCATTCACCGTTGAATAGTCAGCGCTGTCGCTCACTCAGCGCGACCCGAGACGCATATGCTGCGAAGTAATGTCCAACATGCTGACCGTGTCTGGCAGCGTCGAGACCATGCGTCTCGTCGTCGCAAATTGAATTTCAGGGGGCGCGGCGCATCTCGCGCGCGTCGCGGTGCAGGTGGCCCTCCCGATGCAAGTCTTCTTGCTCGCCGCTGGCCACGGTCGCCGGCGTGCTGTTTTCTGCGATCAACTCAACTGGCACGGTGGCGCGGCGCAAAAGGACTTCACGGGAATGCGTTCCACGATTTCCACTTCTTCTCGCAATTGCGCGCGCCGCGCGTCGAAGACATGGGCCCCCGGGCCCCCCTCCGCATTTTCTTGGACTGTGGAGGGCCGGCCATCGTCGGCGGCAGGAGGGGCCTGGCGGTAATCCTCCTAAGCTCGCCCACCCGACAGCGGAGCGTCTTCCGGGCCTTCGAACTCGGACAGGTCTTCGTCGATGCCCACCAGTGGCTTCGAGGACTTGAGGCATTGGACAATGGGCGCGCGGGCGGGTCCAGCGACGCGGTGCATGTTCAGGGCTACACCATCGGATTCGTGGTCGTGGAATCCTGGGGCGGCATCCTTGTCACAGTGCACTAGCGTGCAACTATCAACACAAGGTGCCGCTACGTTTTCAATCTGGAAGTAATCTCTGATGGGAAACTCTGCAAGGCTAGATCTACCTGCGACGAATGACGACTCGCCGCGGCCACCCGCACGCGGGCCCTGCCTCGTGGACAAGCAGCCAAACGTCATAGGAGATCCGCCCGCAGGTAGACTCGCGACGATAAGTCATTCTTCGCGCGTGGCGGTCGCATCGGGCGGCGAAATCATTTGCGTGGAGCGCGTGACGTAGGTCTGCGTGCTGCACCACAACTCCTCGTCCGCCGACCCCGTCCACTGCCTGGCCTCGGTCCGAGTAGTTGCGCATGGCAGGGCGCGGTCCGTTCCAGCCTCCCCAGTCCTTCATGGTAGTTGCTCGGGGGCAGTCCTCCAAATCGCTTGGTCAGTAGTTGCGTTGCCCCGATGATGCTGTTCTAGCGCGCGCGGTGCGGCCGCCCTTGGCCGTCGCAGCGGCCTGTGCGATAGCCTCTACACATGCATCCCGCATTTTCCGTTCGCGACCATGGTCGGGCGTTTCCGCCAGATGTTCACTGTCTATCGCGGGTAGATCTAGGGGGCCGGCCCGTCGTCGGCCACGCGGGGCTCGACGCGGAGAGACGCGGACGCAGAACTCGAAGGGTCGCGACAGACGAACAAGCCCCAATGCAGCGGCCTTGGGAACAATGGGAAGGTGAACCCTCTGGAGCTCCTCCCCCATGGCGCGTCGGGCGCGCGGGGGGGCGCCCCTGCGCGATTTGATGGCGGCGGCGCGTTGGCCGCGGCCGCGGGCGCGAGGTTCCGCGCCATTGGCCTAGAGGATTGACCTAGCGGTGCCATTGCTCAAGGTGCCTTCGCCGTCGGCGACAAGGATCTTAGCTGGGGCCCCGCGCATCCATCATAGGCGACAGGCGCCCAAGATAGCACGCGTCGCCTCGTCGGCTACCGGCGCGCCAACCGCCCATCGGACTCACCGGCGAATTATTTGGAAAACAATGGAACTGTTCATCACACCTCAAGTCGCGTTCACCATCTTCGCTGGAGCTACTGGAGAGGCTGATCGCACGCATGGCCGCGTTACCTTGTCTCTCCAAGGCTCGGCATTCACGGGCTGAAGCACGATGCCAGCGCAAGTGGAATTGGCGGAGTTCCTTGACGACCAGTGCTGGGTTGAAACTGCGTAGGTCTGGGGCGCATACATGTATGTCAAAGCGCGCCCAGTCGGGTAGCATCGCGCGCGGCCTTGCTTCAGTGCGTGGCTGAGGTGGTCGCGGCGCGACGCCGCCCTGCTCGCGCCCACGCCGTCCTACGATACGTTGGTGCTCGTTGGAACTGTCAGCGCTGCTCGCCCCATGCGTCGCCACTACGACCACCATGGGCTCCTCGGGTCTTGTCAAAGCTGTTGGCCCCTGCTGCTGGATCAGCTCCGCCAAGAGCTCGGCGCGTCGGTAATGGTACGCGCGGTAGCGCAATACGTTGGGCCGGTTCTGCTGCTGGCGCAGCTGGTTCTGGGGCCGATTCTAATCATACGGGTGGGCCTTGGCCGCGGTTGCCAGGTCATTGCCAAAACTTGGCAAATCGGCGTGTGCCTGGTATTAGTATTTGGCTTGCATTATTGCTGCTTCCGTAATACCTGTTACAGCTGGGGCATTCCCAATAGTGGGAGGTTGCTTGTCGAACGAATGGCGCGGTCGTGTGTTGCGGATGTGCTTGGTTAAGTTCACCTGTGCGTTGCCGACGCGCGCAGGGCATCCCGGACCACCAGCAGTTGGTCTGAAAACGGCACCGTCGGGATGTCGTGGTGTGTTTGAGTCGTCTGGGTAAAAGCCGGCACTGTTGACCACGACGGTCTGTGCCTGCGAAAAGATCAGGGCCAAAAGCAACTAGGTTCGCGGCAATCCGAGCGGCGTATACGATTAGAGTATGTATCCTTCGTGTGTATTGTTTAGCTTTGGCGACTTCATTGTTGCATGCCCGTGCAGATTCGAAGGGTTTCCGTGCAGCTTTGCGATTGGCCAACATGTGTGTACGTTTGCGCTTAAGCGTACCCCTGGAGCCCAATAGGCCGTCGAGCATGCGAAGGCCCATGATGCTTGCAAATGACATCGAGTTTGGCTAGAACGTGGTCTATGGAGAACTTTGTCAACCATGTGTCCAAAGGGTGCCAGATGAACGTATTGTATGAGAGCGGCCTAACCACAAACGGTAATGTGTGGAAGGTCCTCTCTGTGGTGGCTGCAGCATATCTCGAAGGCAATCACGTGACTCTACAGTTGGGCTATAGCATAGCAGTCGTAGCGAAAAACGTGTTAAGGTAGTGATCGTGTTCAACGGCTTGTTGCACTGTGCGTTTCCTAAGTAAACGTTGGTTCGTTGTTCGAGGTTGGTTCATGAGGTGAGTCTCCTCTTGGAAGCAAGCCGTGTCACGCCGCCTAGCCCGCAAAGTTCCAACATTTCGGCGCAGATGTCGCGTGCGTAGCACAAGGTGGAAAATATGACATACACTTCGGCACGCGCGTCCGCAATAGCTAGCAATCTTAAGAAGGTCCCGTCACCGTCGTCTGAATCGAGTTCTTCTGTTGGGCCGTCGGTGAGGAGCACGGCGCAGTCTAGACCGTTAAAGTCTTCGCCACAATCGTCGCTTGCGTCTTCGACCTTGTGGGGCATTTTCTTTGGCTTGATGCCGGCTTCTTGGTCTGTTTTTGTTTTTCCGTTTGTTGGATCCGGGCATATGTAGGTGGTGCTGTTTGTGTGCCCGCCTGATTGTGGGACAAGGCGGGATTGGTGGCAACCCCTCGTGCCCGAGCTCGCGGCCAAGCCCAGAAGTCAAAAGGGGCGGATATCGAAATCTTCTGTGATGAATGTAGCTCGTTTCTTCGGGCGTTGCCGCGCCATGTGCCCGTGGCTGAGCATAGCCTGGGCGGCGCGCTCCCAGCGCAGTTGGGGACAATCGCTGCGGACCACTGTTGGGCAGCTTCCGACGGCGTCGGACGAGCCAGGGACGCCCTTAGCAGAAGAGCCTCCCCCAAGGAGCCTCCAAACGTCCTCAAAAGGCTACAGGAAGTCCCCGATAAGCCTCGCAGAGGCCCCCAGAAAGCTCCCAGGAGGCTCAAAGACTGCCCCAAGAGATTTTCAAGAAGTCTCCTCCTCCTCCTCCTTCTTGTTCCTCCCTCTCCTCTGCTTCTGTCTCCCACCCGTGTTCCTCGAATGGTTTCCACAACAGCTGGGGGGACACATAGTCCGATAGTTTGGCCGAGCTCTGGCCGCAATGTTCGACCACATAGACGCTCCCGAAAGGCAGGGGGCGGCGGTGATTCGCCGTAGGCATCTTTGATACTTCAATGATCAAGGCAACTCGCCTGGGCATCGTCTCTGGATGGGCTGGCGGGCATACGCGAAATGTCAAGAATGCAAATCCACCTCCTCCTTCCCCCCTGATTCATGTTGCTCGGTCCCCCGCACCCGTTTCTCCCAGACGTTCCCCTCCCCTTCTGTGCCCCCTTCCCCGCATCATCATCGTGACATGTATCCACCGTGCATAGCTAGTGAGAGAGCGCGACACGAGCTCCTCTCGCCCTGCATGGGCGCCTTGCCTGGGGGAGTTTGGCAATCGTCAGCTCGAGCACCTGGCACCCGCCCTTCCGATCCCCGCCGAGTGCACCACTGGACCCCCCCCACCAGCACCACCGGCTCGGGCGTCCCCCTCCAATCCACCCTGTACTTTCCATTCATGTGCGCGCGCCACCGCCCATGCCTAAGCATGCGCAGGCCAGCAGCACGCAGGCGCACGAGCCCCCTTCTCGACCCTTCTTGCTCCTCCCATTTGCCCCTTTCCACTTCGACTTCCTCTTTGTCTTCCTCATCCGCGTCCTCCTCCTCCTCCTCCTTCTCCTCTGCCTCCCCCGTTCCCCCTCCTCCCGCACCTCCCTTGAACACTTTCATCGTCACCAACATCACCAGCAGCCAGCATCATAATACCATCATCATTGTTACCATCATCATCAGCAGCAGCAACATCATCATCGTCATCATCCCATCACCATCATCACCACCATCACCATCATCATCGTACTCATCATCATTACAATCACCATCACCATTACCATCACCATTTTCATCATCCTCATCAACACCGACACCATCATCATCAGCAGCAGTATCATCAACAGCTTCATCACCATCATCCGTCTGAATTCCCCCGCCTACCAAAAACCGAACAAAGAGCGCCTCTTCTGGTGGAGGAGGACAGGAACGGAAGAAGCAAGATAGACACATAAAGGAGCAGCCTGAACAGGCAGAGGAGAAGACTGATCAGGAGTAACAGGACAAAGAGGAGCAGAGGAGCTCGATGAGCAACGGGAGAAAGCGAAACCAGGTGGGTCGGACGACCATCTGGGTCTATAGCGGACATTGCTGGTACCTACCATGGACAATAGTGGTGGCTCTGTACAAGACACCAGGGCCCTCAATAGACAAGCCGATAAGACCGAGGCTCGACCAGCGTTCGAAGGGATTCCCTGATTTCCGAAGGAGACCCCACGTCAGGGAGGAGAAGGAAAAGGTGAACAGTGATTGGCCGGAGGAGATGTGGTAGAAGGAGCGAGGACGAGTGGATGTCCCCAAGACCTGCCAACGCCTGTTAAGATATTGGCTGACTTTGTACGTAGCCATCTGAAGCTGCTCCTGGATGCCACCGTCGAAGCTCGGGGGGGGGGGGGGCGAATGTGCTAAACATAAACTTTTGAGGGGCGAGAGCAGGGGACCGGCAACGACGGACTTCACCATGCTCGGCGAGGCAGGACTGCAAGAAGCACGTGCACAGGCGCGCTCGGTTGGCGTGCGGGCAGTGAGAGAGCTGATCGATCCGGTCGAAATCGTCTCAACTCGCGCGCCGCAGACGTCACCATCCGCGGTGGAGAAAACTGCCAAAACCATCGGGCAATTGGTACCGACCGTTGCTGCGGGCCGAAGGGGCCGCCACAGTAGATGCACTCCTCGGGCCATCCACTGTCAAACATCTGCTGAATACCCGTTTTCAGCGGGACGTCCACAGGACCTGTCCGTTATGGTGCCTTCGAGGTTGTCGTGAGCCCTGCGACCGCGGACGCACTTGCTTCTGCTGGTGAGCTCCTACAGCTCCGCCTTGATGTTAGTGTCGGTCACGATTCTCAAACATGTGGGCTTCTGCGCGAGACCCCTCTCCCACTCATGCATGTATCAATGCTAGCCATGGTCACCCGTGCCAGTCTGCCTCGACCCATTCCAACTTCCAGATACTCACGCTTCGCTCGACCGAACCCGCCAGCTCACGCAGCTCCGAGATGGCGATGGGACCGACGCTCCGTAACCCGAACGAATTAGAGGACGAAGCGCATCAGAGAGGTTTTCGAGAGAGCGATGTGCATGCCGCACAGATTTCCCTCCTGGCGCACTGGCTACAGTGCCCAGGGGACGTCGACTTCCTCGTCTGCATTTGCTGCCGCAGCGCGTGTCGCGCCCCGCGCCCCGCGCCTGCGAGCGGACGAGAGGGCCCCCCGCTTGGGTTCTGAGGGAAAGAGGGAGGCGAGACCACCTGCCTCGTCAGGCAGGGGCCGCAGGCTGGTAAGGACCTCGCCCGCAATGGCCCGCACTTCCTGCGCCGCTCCCCAGAGCCCCGTCCCCCACGAGTCCCGCATGAAGGCGAAGGGCGAAGGGGTATCTCCCAGGGCCCGACTCACGCAGTCCAGCGAGGCGGCCTAGGTATCGTCGAAGCTGCAGATGGCGCTGCCGCCCGCGCGCGCTGGTAGAAAGTTGGGCCATCTGCGCGGCCGCCTGGAGCCAGCGCGCACCGAGATCCTGTCGAAAGCGCCCGCGAAGTCGGCCATGGCGGGCGCCGAGCATGGGAACTTGCCTCGAACGGCGCCCCCCAGCGCGCGTCTAGCCGCGCCCGAGACCAGCCCTTCCCCGGCAGGCCTGGCGCGATCCTAGCGGGCGCGGCGCGGCGCAGGACTCGCCCAGCAATCAGGAGCCCGCGGGGGATTGAAATGACGAGCTTGTCCAGCCTAGCGCGGAATTGCGCGGCGCCGCGCCGCGGTGCCGGCGCCCCCCCCCCTCGCCGCCGCGCTGAGGGGGTCGCCCGTGGGCTCCCGAGGCGGCTGAAAGGCCAGAGGCGCCCTCGGATCCAGGATGCGCCGCTCGGGGCTCTGGGTGATCCTAGGTCTGCCCAACGCGAAGTCCCCACTACGCTTGAGGCCACACTCCGAAGGTTTCGGCCGTCCGCAGCCCAAAAGAAGTACGCGATCCACCTCCAGCAGCACAAAGCTCCCCGATCGCTTTGAACCTCCCCTCCCAGCAGCGAGTTGCAGCGGGCTTCCAGGGCGCTCAGTGCAGGGTGGAAGAGTCTCAGCGCGGAAATTACCGACGCCCTGCCTGCGTTCGAGCAGCCTTGGTCACAACGTCGTTGTGTGCATCTCTGCGCGTTGGCTCATTCTTCCAGGTTCGCCCTGCTCCTCAGCCCACAGCTTTGCCCGTTCGCCGAATTTGAGTTCCAGCTGCTGCGCCAAGCTCAACAACGACTCGGGGTTATGCTCCACGCGGTCCACCTGGCTGCCCACGTCATTGATCTGCACCGTCAGCACGTGCGCCTCCACAGCCATCCATCCATCGCGCTTGATCTATGTAGCCTACGCCGTGGCCTTGAAGTCCTGGCCATCAGTGGTCATCACGATCTCTCCACCATCCATTCGCTGCCCGAGCTTGATCGCCATGTTCTACATCGCTTCCAGCAGGTCTCGAGCTGTCGCCCTTGTGAGTCACTCTACTTGGTTGGCCACGTATTTGTCCTTGCTCGCCGTACCGCACTCTTGCGTCAAGAACTGCTCTCCAAACTGTGCCCCCATGGCTCTGTGGATCTGGGTGCCCGTGGACCGGAAACATCCTGCCACACCAGTGGCAGCTGCTTACCCAGCTGCGCTGGCGCCTCGCCTGGTTCGGGCTCTGAACAAGCTCGCGCACAACATGTTCACGCGATCCTCCAACACAACCAAGTAACCCGCTGCGCTGACACTGCCGCCGCCAACGGCGCCGGCGACGTGAGGGGCGAAGCCCGCCGCGGGGAGCTGCGGGAATGATTCTGATCATCAACCATGCCAGCACAGGCGGTGCGCTGCGCGCCAGAAGCCCGAAATTTCCCGGGCACGCCGCACACGTTGATACTGCCGTTCAAGCCAGTCACTTCCGACAATGTGCTTGGTGAGTTCCTTTGCCTCCTGCGCGGACTCTATGGTCCGCAGCTGGGCATCACTCCGTCTGCAGATGCCCGAGCGGGACACGAACTCTCGTATGTGCACAGCATCGCAAGCCATAGCCGCAGCGTCGGCCTTCAGCACCCCGAGGTAGGAGACGCCTGGTAATCGCTGTCGGAGAAAGCCATGCTCCCGCAAGCGACGGCGGCCAGAGTCAAGAGCCGTAAGAGAGCTTCCGCCGCAAGGCCGCCAGCGGCTCGAACTATACATCGCGACGGCCCTGTGCCAAAATGCAACACGCCGCGTCTGGGGCGGAAGCGACGTTGAAGACCATATAACCAACGAGTGTGAGAACGCGTGTGCAGCGAGGAGTGACGCGCACGCAAGAGAGACACTCATGGTATGTTTTGCCTCTGGGCGTGTATGAGTCGGAGTCGGGGGAGGAGGGGGGAGAAGGAGGAGGAGGACGACGACGAAGGCAAGGACGTGGACCCTCCCTTGCCCAGCCGAACAAGCTTTGCCCAGGTGTCCGTAGAGCGATGGGCGTCAGCGCGCTGAGCTCGGAAGCGACGCTGTGAACATTCTCGACGCAGCACTCGGAGGGGCCAAGTGCCTGTCGGCCCGGCGCCGTACGGCCCGAATAGGGAAGGTGCGCGGGCCTGCGCGTTACTGTACAGAGGGCCCCAGGACGGCCCCAGCATGTCTCCGAAAGTTGCCCCGGAAGGCCGCCGAGCGGCCCAAAAGCAGCCGAGACGCCCAAAGAGGGCCTCCGAATGGCCCCTGAAAGCTTCAGAAAGGTAACGAGAGGGCCCCAGGATGCACCCACGACGGCACTCTTCGAAAACACCGAACGTATGTCAATGATTTTGCTGGTCGGGGAGCTGTGGAGCACTCTCCTGAAGCCTTCTCGGAATTTCTACGGAGCTTCCGTGCCCTTCTTGGGCCTTTCTTGGCCGTCTTTGGTTTCCCGCAGGTCACCAAACGGTCCCAGGAGCCCTTTTGTATCGTCTTGGGGCGATATTGCATGCCTCTTGGGCTATCGTGGACGCTCTGAAGAGCAAGAGTGCTGGAAACTGTCTGTGCACATCCAGCACATCTACAGAAAATCCGCCGACCCTGTCGGCGTGTGAGGGGAGTACAAGGTCCATCGTCCCCCGGTGCTCCTCAAAGACGACCTCTCGTTCGATCTGCTCTTCCATTCTCGGAGATTCTCCCGAGACCCTCTTCAGCGCGCCAAGCTCTTCAACTCGAGGTGAACCGAGCCAGGTCGCAATCGAAGTCGTAATTGAGTCGAAGGGAAGCCCCTTCCCTTTGGTCCATTCCTCACCGGGGGGTAGTCCCAAGGGGGGTCCCGAGTCGGGGGGGGGGGTCCTGGGGGCAGGTCCCAAGTCAGAATACGGTTCCCCCCCTTCCCTTTTCGGGATGCCCTCGAGCAAATTTGGCCCTCCTTCGGCACGTCACGTCCAAGATGCTCCAAGATGGGCCCAAGAGGGCCCATAGTCGCCGAAAGATTGGCCCAAAACGCCGACAATGGCCTCCAGACGGCCCAAGACGCCTCCAATCCCAAGAGCACTCCGAAGATGGCCCCAAGAGGCAACATGTTTTGAATTCCTTTTGGGTTTCTGTCAGATCTTTGCGTTTCTGCCTTTTCTGCCTCCCGGAGCTCCAAGACAGCCCAAGAAGTCCCAAATATTGCCCCAAGACGGCCTACGAGGCCGTCAAGAGGGCGCCGGCCTCCCGCCCTGCTGGCATCCCTTCACGGCACCGCCCCCCCCTCCAGCCCCCCCCCCCGATGCCCGCACCTCTGCTCGACACCCCCTCCCCGACGCCCCCCTCCCCGATACCGGCACCCCCCCCCCTGGTGCTGGCAACCCCCTTCCCTCGCATCCGACACTTCCCGCCCCACGGGCCGGCACCCGCCCCCCGGTGTCGGTACCCGCACCTCCCAGTGCCGGCACCCCCCCCTGGTGCCGGCACCCCCCTTCTAATGCCTGCGTGCCAGCACCTCCCCCACGGTGCCGGCCTCCCGCACTGCCGGCACCCCCCCCTCAGGTGCGGGCGCCCCCCTCCCTCATGGTGTCCGCCCCACCCCCAACCCCCTCCGTTGCCGGATCCGCCTCTCCCATTGCCGCGCCCCCCCCCCCCGAAGTGACGCCCCCCCCAGCGCAGTTGCCGGGCCCGCCCCCTCCCGCGCCGACATTCCCCCTCCAGCCGGGTTGCCAGCGCTCCTCCCTGGGTTGCTAGCTTCCCCCTCCCCGGTGCCGACACCCCCCCCTCCTCCTTCTCCGCCTCCTCCTCCTCCTCCTCCTCCTCCTCCTCCTGCTGCTGCCTCCTCCTCTCCGCTCCTCTCTCCTCCTGCCTCCTCCTCCTCCTCCTCCTCCTCCTTCTCGTCTCTCCTCCTCGTCCTCTACCCGGTCCTGTCATCTATCCCTCCTCTCCTCGAACGTCCTTCCTCCTCCTCCCCCTCCTCTTCCTCCTCCTCCTCCTCCTCCTCCTCCTCCTCTTCCTCCTCCTCCGTTTTCCAAGCCCACATCACCATCACCACCACCATCACCATCACCATCACCATCACCATCACCACCACCATCACCATTACCATCACCACCACCATCACCATCACCACCACCACCACCACCACCACAACCACCACCATCACCATCACCATCACCATCACCATCACCATCACCATCATCACCATCACCATCACCATCACCATCACCATCATCATCATCATCATCATCATGCATCATCATCATCATCATCACATCATCATCATCATCTCATCATCATCATCCAGCATCATCAATCTTCATCCACATCAGCATCATCATATCATCAGCAGCAGATCAGACATCATCATCATCATCATCATCAGCACAATCATCTCAGCATCATCTACCCATCATCATCCTCATCCTCATCCTACATCCTTTATCTCATAATCATCATCAGTCAGTCCATCATCATCGTGAGCGGATCGTGATCATGATCCTCTTCTATCTCATCAGCATCATCAGCCAGCAGCAGCAGCATCAGCTCATCATCATCATCATCATCATCATCATCATCATCATCATCATCATCATCATCATCGCCACCACAACCGTCATCATCATCACCACCACGACGACGACGTCGTCGTCGTCGTCATGATCGTCGTCGTCATGTATCGTCGTCGTTAACCCGTTCGTCAGTCGTCGTAGTAACTATCCCACTCGTCGACGGTTGGTCGTCCATTGTCGTCGTCAACGTCCATTCCCACACGCATCAGGAGCGCACCGGATCGGCGGCACTGCCCGGAGGCCACTACAATATTGCCCCAGGACGGCCTACGAGGCCGTCAAGAGGGCGCCGAGACAGCGCAAAGGCCCTCCACGACGGCCACAGAGGCCTCCAAGACGTCCCCAGACGGCCACAAAAACACCCCCAGAGGGGCCTCAGAGGGCGAACACAAACTAACATTTCGAGATCACCGCCCCAAGAGGCTCCAGGGAGGCACTCCACAAGAGGCTCCAAAGAGACCCCCAAGAGGCCGCAAGCGGCCCCCCAAGGGCCCCCGGGAAGCTCCAAGACGCTCCCAAGAGGCTCCAAAAAGGCCCCACGCGGCCTGCCAATTGCCTCCAGAGGCCCCCGACAGCCTTCCGAAGAGATCCCAAGAAGAATCCATGAGGATTCAGTCCCACTACCGAGGCACGGCGGCGGGATGGGCCGCAGGCCACTCGACCTGCTTGGGGATGTCTCAAGCGGCTTGCTTGGTTTCTGTCCCAACATCTTTCGCTTTCTGAGCAGCTTTAAAAGATGTCTTGAGCGAGGCGTTCATTTTCACCCTCCAAAGGGGAGCCGCCAGGGGTTATCTCACGGTCCCGTTCGCGGCCGTTTTGTGGGGATGTCTCAAGCGGTTTGCTTGTGTTCTGTCCCAACATCCTTCGCTTTCGGAGCAGATTTGGAGGATGTCTCGAGCGAGGCGCTCATGTTCACCTCCCTAAGGGGAGCCGCCAGGGGTTATCTCACGGTCTCGTTCGCGGCCGTTTTGTGGGGATATCTCAAGCGGTTTGCTTGTTTTCTGTTCCAGCGTCGTTCGCTTTCGGAGCAGATTCGGATGATGTCTCGAGGGAGGCGCTCATTTTCAATCCCCACGTGGGCCAGATTGTGAGGATGTCTCGATCGGTGGCCAGACTCGTGGGCACAGGTTCTCTTCAGGATGCCACAGGAGGCTCCAACAGGCTCCAGGAGGCCCCAGGAGACCACATGAGGTCCCAGGAGGCATCAGGAGGCCACAGACAGACTCAAGAGGCCACAGGATGTCCCAAGAGGCTCTAGGATGCCCCAGGAAGCTTTGGGAGGCCTCAGGAAGCCACAGGAGGCCCCAGGAAGCCAGAGGAAACGCCAGGAGGTCTCGGAAGGCAACAGGAGGCCCCGAGAGGCCCCAGGAGCAGGAGGCCTCAGAAGGCAACAGGAGTGGCTCCAATCCCATGTGTTTTACGTACGCTCCTATAGACTGGGCCTCACCTGGAGCACGAATCCTTGATGTTATACGTCTGTTTCTATATAGTGTCCTTCTCCTGTGTACTTATGTTCCTATAGGGCCTCTCCTGGGGCACGAGTCCTTGGTGTTTTACGTGTGTTCCTATAGATTGTCCCCTTCTCCTGTGGCTCCAATCCGCAATGTTGTATGTACGTCTGTTGCTATAGATTGGGCCCAGGCTTATGCGCAGAGACGCGCTCGTACTACTGAGGCTCATTCACACTCCAATTCATTCTCAATTAGATTCATGACCAGACCGTCACAGCTGAAGCCCATTTATATTCGAAAGCTCTTGCGCCTAGACATTCACGGCGGACAGGTCCATGCGAATAGATGCACGTATGGGGAGCTCCACGCAGTGAATAACTTATCCCCCTCCTCTCCCTCCTCGGGCCCTCTTGGGGCCCTGCCTCGCTGGCCTGGGGTCCTGGCCCTTTTTGGGGCCTCGTCCTCCTTCGTCCTCCTCCTCTCTTCCTCTGCTGCTTGTGGGTCTCGGCTCTATTTAAGAGTGGCGCCCTTCCGCCCGACCCCCGTGGCCCAGGTGAGTAAGGAGTACACGAGACTTCGCAGTCCCTCCCTAGGAGGCTGCGAACTGCCCAACTGTCGTTATTGTCGTGGGCTCCTGGGGGGCACGGCGGAGTAGGGGAGTACCAGAGTACCCGAGACCTCGCAGCTCCTTGGGAGGCTGCGAACTGTGCAATTGTCGTCATTATCGTGGGCTCCTGGGAGGCACGGGGGTATAGGTGAGCACCCGAGAACTCGCAACTCCTTTGGCGGCTGCGACCTGCGTCACTGTCATGGGATCATGGGAGGTCCAGCGGAGTCGGGGGGCACGCGAATCCAGCCGAGACCTCGCGGTTCCATGGGAGGCTACGCCTGGCGCTCCTGGGAGGCACGGCGGAGGTGAGGGCAGCGGAGATCGTGCATATTTGGCGATGTGCTATTTGTCCCTACCCAGGCTCTGCCTAGAAGGGTTCTTACTCGGTATGCTTAAAGGGCTGGGCAGTGCAACTCGCTCCGGGCGGTTCCCCCAGTATCCGCCCCGCGGTTCCCCCAGTTACGTCCCCTTAGCTTAGCGTTGCTTATCT